AATCTGATATGAGACTAGTACAAATATAAGCAAGAGTAAAAGAAGAATGAGATGCTTTGATATTTTTAGAGGCTCATGATAAAGCAGGTTCTCTCACTCACTTCCTCCCATCACTCCAGAGGCAGGTATTCCATGAAACATGATGAACTACAAGATAATTAAAGCGACAATCAGATTATTATCAATCATCAGCCACGGGTCTGCGCATGATATACACAGTGGCTGCATATCAAAACCGACTGATCTGATCTCATTATGTTAAGGTTACTCATTAGATTTTAGACGAACTAACTGACACAATGTATAGTGCAGGGGTGTCCAAACTCGGTCCTGGAGGGCCGGTGTCCTGAAGAGTTCAGCTCCAACCCCAATTAAACACACCTGAACCAGCTAATCAAGCTCTTACTAGGCATACTAGAAACTTAAAGGCAGGTGTGTTGAGGCAAGTTGGAGCTAAACTCTGCAGGACACCGGCCCTCCGGGACCGAGTTTGGGCACCCCTGGTATAGTGAATCCTAACTGGAGCATATAATACAACAGCTAATTTGGTTTTGTTTATTTCCTAACAAATACACTGCGACGTCAGCTCAGCTAGCTAGCTAAGATATTGCTTTCATTCCGCTGTAAGGGTACAAGAAACGTTGATGTCTCATTAATTCACACCTTATATATGTCTATAACGTTAATGTGGTTATGAGATGACATATTATTCAAATACTAACAGCGTTTTTAGCTAAAACGCACCAGGATAAAGTCCTTTCACTCACCCTTATATTGACATCACCCGCTGCAGCAAGCTGACGTGACGTCGCCGGATGATTTCGTAACATCCTGTTTTCTTCTTCTTCTTCTTCTTCTTCTTATTCTTCGTTGGTATTTTATTGGCGGCTGGCAAACCAGCTTATAGGTGCATTACCGCCACCGACTGGACTGGAGTCTGGATCAAGATTTATCCTGTTTTCGCCACTGTCCCGACTTATTCTTCATTACAAAAATTGTTTATGCAAAGAATATACTATTTAATCTGAACTAAAGTAATAAGAATCATTATTTATTCAATTTCACATTCGAATAAAACGGTAACATTTATTATGTTATTAATTATACATTATACATGGGGTTGCCAAGTCCATTTAATATTTCTACACTAGACAATATCGCACTTTATTCACTCAGTTATGTAATATATAACTACATTACACTATAATAACTGTATTAAATAGTATATTATAGATCATCGTAAGGCAACCACCTTCCTTATTATAACCAGTGCAATTAATCGAACAGAACTGATATGTCGGTCATTCACAAGAATACTTGGCAACCCGAGATTGTCTTTGAATACGCGCGCGGGAATGATCAGACAGCTACAGTGAACAGAGAAGCTCGAGAAGTGGTAACTACAATCTGGCGTTGTAGCTTTGTTTGTTGTGAGACTGTGAGCGTTGTAGGGAGTTGTTTGTCACGCGTATAAACCTAGCCTGGTTATTTGAGCGTGTGTGAGATTTCAAAACAGAATGAAATCCGCTAAGAACACTAAAGTGAAACCTGCAGTATCATCTAAAGAAGAAGAGTGCGGAATATGGCTCGACACAAAAGAGTTAAAAGAAAAGAAACAACAGGTAAAAACAACTGAATTCTAATTAAATATATTATACTAAATCTAACTTTTTTTAAGTGTATTGAAAATATATATTTTTTTAATTTTTTCAGAAACAACTGACCCGTCCAATATCCAAATGATTGAACCCACTTGCGAGATCAGGGGAATACAGTGTGGCAGTGGCACTGAGCTTCACTCAGACCAAACTCAACATGCCTGTCACTAGACAAAGCACAATATCACATTTCTTTTCACCCAAATCCAGAGGTAAAAAATTCCAGAGCTGTTTCATACTGTAACTGTATCAGATTATGTGATACCTTTAATATTACTTAATATATATATATATATATATATACCCTGGTATTTGAGGTACCATTATAGTTTTTATTAATAGTATGCATTTATTAATGGTAATTAATAGTATGAATGAGTTTTTATTTTTATATTTTTCATTTAAATTTTTTGTTAACATTTTAGTCATTTTATTCTGTGTTTTTGTAATTTTTATCAGTTATTTTTATAATAGTGTTTTTAAATATATACATACATACATACACACACACACCTTTAATTTGATGATAAACTGTTAAAGCTTATAAAAAAATGTCCTTTCCTGACTGGTATTTGTTTGGCCAGACCCTAACCCTAGTGTGGCTCATTCTGGGATGTCCAGCTTCATGCACGCAGAGGCACGCACCGGGGCCATGTTGCCCATTATACAGAAAATGTGTTAGAAACACAAGAATATTGGAATAAAGAAGCATCAAATGCATATCCAAATCAGACAATTCTTGAAACTGAGGCTTTCTTTCATGAGGAGCACTGTGATCTGATGGTCTGGAAGCCCTCTGAAGATGCACATAAGAATTTCCGTAAGTCTCTGGGTCCTAAACACACGGACAAACATGATTTAAGAGACTAGAAGGCCTCATTTAAGGGGTCTATCTTAACCTCTAGGCCTGTCAATGAAAACCACAAAAGATCGAATGCTTCTGTGATTACTAATAAAAATCAGGAGCATTCTTGGTGCAAAAATAAGGCATCGCCCATGAAACGGATGGGAAAAGAGAATAGCTGGTCCACATCACCTATTCAAAATGCTCCAACATCCCCTTTTAAACGCCATCTAATTTCTAGTCCAGCTAAGTGCAGGTTAAAGGAGAAATACACTTTTTCCCCTAAAAAATCAGGTAAGGAACTTGCAAACACAGAGATGGCTGGAGAAACTCTTGCTATGTTGTTCACTCAGGACTCAGAGGGCTTCTGTGTGATTGCTCATCGTGACCAGCACTTAAGAAGCCCACTAAAAGACCAGAGCAATTTATCTGTGGGCAAAGATTACAGGAATAGTCCATCTGCCACTTCTTTAGAAAAAGAGGAGAAATCAGATCTAGAGACAGAGATGCTTTTCACCCAAGACTCCGGCATTAGCCGGAAACCGATCTGTGGTGAAATCATTTTAAGTGTTTTGTATTGATTTTATTTTTCAAGCACTTGAATTTTTTTAATGTAGATTTTTATATGTGATACATTATAGAAACAAAAGTATTTAAATAAAAAATTGTACAAAAACAAATAAACCCCCCAAAACAATGTTTGTTGTGTAATATTTTATAAAGATTTCCTGTTTGCCAGCAGATGGCACCTTTTACTCTCTCAGTTTGGTGAACTACTTAAGCTGTGCTTTTAGAATCGGTGTATATTTTAAAGTAGGACATGGTGTGCCTGCGTCACGTTAAACATTTATACAAGTTGTTCATTTGAGTTTAAGCTCTATCATTTTAAATGAATTTATGTTTTGTATTGCTTTAAATGACCAGCATGGAGCAAGGTGAATATTTCACATTCTGTTCTCGTTTGCCAAGTTGATGTTTCCCCATTGCTGCTCTGTTTAAATTTGCTGTCAGGGACAGAATCTATGAGTTTCATTAAAGAGCCATGTGCTCACAAATTCAAACATTTTTCACGCATTTATAATTAATGGCAACTACTCTCAAATATGATGATCCCCTTGCAAGGGACTCCCTTCCTAAAATATAAAGGCACATTTCACGTATAAAAACCCATTTATACTGTGTGAGAAAAATATTAAATAACGACAAAATTAAATAACCATTTTTAAAGAGAATTAAATCTTTTATATTATCCTTGTACAAAGCAAAGTTTAACATTTATAATACATTTTGTAAAAAAAATATTTTTTGTTCTTTTTGAAAACCCTTGCTCTAGAACAACTGAACCTTATAAAGCTTAAATCAGAAGATGGTAAAAATGCCAATACAATACAAATAACAGTGTAGTGAGTTCACAATGACTTTATTTGATTAAATTGATCTGGTAACATGGAAATACTTTGGTAAAGTACAATTTAAGGCATGTGATTTAATACATTGTACATGTTCTACTGTGTTTAAGCATCATGCTTAAGTGAGCATTACATTGTTAGTTAAATGTAGACTGTTTACTGACCAAGCAAATGTAACACAATTCCCTTTTAAGGACTGAAGAATGCTACATATTAACACATGTTGGCATACACTCAAAATGAGCTGAAGTGTTCAAGACCTTCCTGTTGAAGAAACATTTAAAGCATTGAAATTTACAAGCAGATGTAAAGGTGTGAGTGCAAAGTGAGAACATCTAGGAAACAATTTTGGACATGAAGTTGGATATTTATTAGCTGTATTTACTTAATGTTATAACACAGCACATGTCATTACTACCCTGATGGTGTTGAATGACGTGGTGGCCGTCAATGCAAAGTTTCAGAAATGAGCAGTCTTGAGATTATAAATGAAATATAAAGCAATATTTAAACTATATTAAAATAATATAAAATCTTATCAAACATACCCCCAAAGGCACTCAGTTCAGTTGCAGAACAAAGACCAGTTGTCACACTCCTAGAATAAAAAGCGGGTTGATTGTAAAATGTCCATTGATTTTTCTCCTCTGCTCATGATTGCATATATTCTGCGTCCAAAGCCTGAAGATACAAGTTTGCCTTGCCAAATAAACATGTTTTTTTGCAGAAGAAAATATTATGATCTGAAAGTAAATCTGTAGTAAATGTCAAATGTTACTGCACAAAACACAAAGGGCTGGTTTCCCTATAAAAACAAGTTATAGCTAAATATAGTCATAATATATTCAAAATATTCTATCTTTTTTATTATGTTACTACACAGAACCAAAATGTATTTAACATGACAATTTAGGACATCAACACAAAGTATTTTATAATGTCAAAAAGACATAGACAAAAAAATTAAAATAAATAAATATTGTTATGGAAAAAAATTATCAAAATGTAACTTTAACTTAGTACTTTGAGTTGCTGACTGAAAAATTCCCATATTCACACATAATGGTGTCATCCTGTGTATTTTCTTTTATGTATAATTAGGTATTTTATTGCTGCTAAAATTAAGGGGGAAAATATCCAACAGAGATTTGTTCAAAGGTTTCATAACTTGTGTGGGGAAATAATACTTGTTTGTCCATATTTTGCACTTAATTTGAATTTTACGAGCCTTAAACTCTCACAACCACAATGTATGAATTCTTCCGTCTCCGCTAACAGTGTGATACAGTGAAAGTGCATGAAGAATTCTGGGTAGGAGGAAAGAGATGACGAGCTGGAAAAGGAATCAACCAGCAATCTTTGTGGGCTCTGTCACCAGGCTGGAGCCGTCCCAAACCGTTTTAAACTGCTCTGGGATTGGAAACTCCCTCTGTTGAATACACAAGAATATATTAGTCAAATAATGTATAAACAATGTCTCAATTTAAGGCTGATTTTCCCTCACATTTGAATATAAAGCAGGTCAAACCTCTGGAATGGAACACTTGTTATTTTGGTACCATGACATAATGTATCAAGTAAGTTATTTGTTGAAATGAAAGGTTATGGTAGCTCTGTTGGTAGATATTTTCAGTGTAAATAAACTCACATAATCATCTTCTCCCTCAGGAACAAGGACGTTCATCTCAGAGCTCTTGGCACTGACAATCTCACAGTCAAGTGAATCCTTGCTCAAGTAGACATGGCACCCCTCAGTCTTGTTAATGGAAATAATAGGAACTTTTCCCATTACCTGAAAGGCCAAAAACAAGTTATGTGTTGTTCACAGGCAACAAAATATAGTCCAAAGTCCAAAAACTACAATTAGCTTAAAAGAATTTGCATTTTTGAGCCATGAGTTCCTACTTGGTGAAAACGGGCTACAAAAGTCTCTTATGCTCAACATTTTTTTTTTTATAAAAACAGCTGTGCTGCTTAGTGTTTTCAGGATACTTCGATGAATATAAAGTTGAAAAGAACAGCATTAATTTGAAACAACATTTTTGTAACATGTTTTACTGTCACTAATGATCAATTTAATGCATCCTTGCTGATAAAAAAAAAAAGTTTAATTTCTTTAAAAAAAAATCTTGCTGATTCAAAACTTTAGAATGGTTCTGTATGTGGTTGACGAATTCGACAATATTATGTAGCAACGTCTTAGCAATTCTTGCTATAACAGCACATAGCAGCTACAAAATTAAAGCTTGACTCTGTAATTTGTGTATGTTAACATCTCTTCAGTATCAACAGATGCATACCACAACGCTATTCAACATTCATATTCTTTATTGATTCTGGCAGTTATGACCATAATTCATGCACATACATTATGCTAACACATTCTCTTTTACAATAACAACCCTAAGTGCAGATCACACACAGAACAAAACACTTCAGCCTGCAACTTGTTATGCACAAATATTTACGTCTAACCTGAAGTTGAATGTCTCTGGAGTTGATGATCTCAACGATGCCCACCACATTGTCAAACACGAGTCCGAGCTTCTTACAGTTATCTGTGAGGAGAGAGACAGACATTGGCTAGGCGTGCTGTGCGGTGCAACTCTAAAGGAGAAGATAACGTTACTGAATAAGAGCAGCTGGTGTTATGAGGAGCTCCTCTTACCCACTATGATGGAGTTGACTTTGCCTTTGATCTGGAGTGTGGAGTTGCTACAGCTAAAGACATAAACCACCTGTCTGAGCTCGGTTTCCTCTATCACCAGGTCATGAGACTGCTCCTGATGCTCCTACAGGCCAAATACACACAATAGATCCACTAAACACATGCTGTAGTCATGGTAAATCAATAGAATGTCACTACAAGTGCAGGGTTCAGTCTCCTAGTTTACAAGTATATGGCGAGTGTTATATTAATAAATTTCTACATTCATCCAACCCACTTTTTGGGAGATAATTCCTATACAACTGAGAATGATCTCTGTTGGTAGATATTTTCAGTGTAAATAAACTCACATAATCATCTTCTCCCTCAGGAACAAGGACGTTCATCTCAGAGCTCTTGGCACTGACAATCTCACAGTCAAGTGAATCCTTGCTCAAGTAGACATGGCACCCCTCAGTCTTGTTAATGGAAATAATAGGAACTTTTCCCATTACCTGAAAGGCCAAAAACAAGTTATGTGTTGTTCACAGGCAACAAAATATAGTCCAAAGTCCAAAAACTACAATTAGCTTAAAAGAATTTGCATTTTTGAGCCATGAGTTCCTACTTGGTGAAAACGGGCTACAAAAGTCTCTTATGCTCAACATTTTTTTTTTTATAAAAACAGCTGTGCTGCTTAGTGTTTTCAGGATACTTCGATGAATATAAAGTTGAAAAGAACAGCATTAATTTGAAACAACATTTTTGTAACATGTTTTACTGTCACTAATGATCAATTTAATGCATCCTTGCTGATAAAAAAAAAAAGTTTAATTTCTTTAAAAAAAAATCTTGCTGATTCAAAACTTTAGAATGGTTCTGTATGTGGTTGACGAATTCGACAATATTATGTAGCAACGTCTTAGCAATTCTTGCTATAACAGCACATAGCAGCTACAAAATTAAAGCTTGACTCTGTAATTTGTGTATGTTAACATCTCTTCAGTATCAACAGATGCATACCACAACGCTATTCAACATTCATATTCTTTATTGATTCTGGCAGTTATGACCATAATTCATGCACATACATTATGCTAACACATTCTCTTTTACAATAACAACCCTAAGTGCAGATCACACACAGAACAAAACACTTCAGCCTGCAACTTGTTATGCACAAATATTTACGTCTAACCTGAAGTTGAATGTCTCTGGAGTTGATGATCTCAACGATGCCCACCACATTGTCAAACACGAGTCCGAGCTTCTTACAGTTATCTGTGAGGAGAGAGACAGACATTGGCTAGGCGTGCTGTGCGGTGCAACTCTAAAGGAGAAGATAACGTTACTGAATAAGAGCAGCTGGTGTTATGAGGAGCTCCTCTTACCCACTATGATGGAGTTGACTTTGCCTTTGATCTGGAGTGTGGAGAATTGTTTTTTATTTGCTTTCTGTTAATTCACAAGTTGTTTTGTATTACTTCCTTTAGTTCACTAGTTGTACTGCTTAATGCGTCATTTGTGCAGCTTTTAGTCATTATGCAATGCAAACCAACAATTTTAAGTCAATTCACAAATAAATTTTAAAAAAATATATACCATTATAGCATTTAAATTTTATTTGTAAATTGTTCATATGCATTTTTATTTCCAATATATTAACTAAATGGCTTTTGGATAATGACTAAATGGCTTGGTTAATGATAATGACTTGAAAATATCAAGATCATTGCATTGTGGGATAGATTATTTTTTGCAAAAGTATTTAAGTATTTGGGCAACTGTAGCAGAACCATTACGTGTAGCATGGTGTAACGCTGAACACAGTCAGACACATGTAGGTTGATGGGCACCTACCACCCTCCACTTCTTTCCTTCCAGCTCCAGCACGGGGGAATGTTTCTTGGCAGGTGCACAGGCAGACGAGCTGGGGTTCTGACATTTGGCTGGAGATCCCTGGTGTGTCCTCCCTCCCTGAGAGCGCAAGTTAGGGTTCTTATGGGTCTTCTGCTTGTCAGACACATGCTTCAAACCTGGAGGCAGAACACATCACCTGATGTCAGTTTTGATGGCAGTATAGTATCTTGTAGTCTGGCAGTGTTCTCCTGTCCACCTTTAGTGATGGCCTCTCCCTGGTTGAGCTGTGCAAACAGAGCTGAGTGCTGGGCTGCTGTGTCGTCGGATTTAGGGCTGTTATCCATGAACACTGGAGGAGGACCTGGTGGTGGAGGAGGAGGAGGAGGAGGAGGGGGAGGAGGAGGGCAAGTACCATCAGAAGGAGCACCGAACAGCGAGGGAGGGGCTACAGGACCCTGTGGAGTACATCAGAGTTAGTCCAGGAGAAGCTGGAAACTTATATGCTCATTCCAGAATGGGAAAAACATTAAAAACGAAACTAAAAACACAATATTCATGTCACAGAATTCAGTTTAGCTGTAAATTCACAGCCTCAAATAACACTTTTTTTATTGTAAAATGGTTACTAAATTTAAATGTATTTTCACCCCCATGTTGATGCACTGCAATGGGCGTCCTACTCCAGTAGGTGGTGTATGAGGCAATGGATTACAGTAAGTCTGTAGTGTTGCTGCTGACCTGAATGGAGGGTATGAAGTTCCAAAAAGGTGACCTCCATAAAATCAACATTTTTTTAGTTAAATGTTTATTGCAGATAGATATATAGATATATAGATAGATAGATAGATAGATAGATAGATAGATAGATAGATAGATAGAGTATGTGTGTTCAACTCTATCCACACATATTATAAAATTGTAAAACTACAAAATTTTATAATAAAAATGTCAAGATATGCAGTGAAATGTCTTTTTAGAAACAAGCCTTGCTACATGGTTTGTGCTAAGAAAACAATACTCAATGTGTTTCCATGATGATGATATTCTCTAATAATCAGATCCTGATTTTCGAAATAATTTCATATCAGTCCATGTGTTTCTGGCACAACTGGGATAAACTTATTTAACAACATTTAAAGTAAAAGAACAGATCAGTGTGGCACAGTTGGCTATTGTGTGACCCTGACGGCACACTTATGCCTGTTTTATATTGTCAGCACAGCTGCCATTGACAGTTGCACACGGTTCCCACTTCAACACTTAAACTGGCTTAAACAACTGTTGCACACTCATCTTTTCCTGTCTTGTACAAACACACACACTTCTAATCCCAGTAATTGTACTGATGTTCAGCATAGGTTAAACAGTTGGGCAACCCGACCTCTGACCCTAAAGGTCGATGCCTTGTGAAGAGGTGAAAAGGCAAAGGTACTTAAACAAACTGTTAGAGGAAGTTGGAAAACACGGCAGACAAATACATAGTGATGCGGGAGTTTGATTGTGTCTGATGCGTGAGGATATACAGAAGTAAATGAAGTCAAAGGAGAGGTATAATGTGGAATACATGAGAAGCGAGGTTGAATTATGAGGAGTGTGTGTGAGAGCAGGTGTGTAAGCCAGAGACACACTAGGCTTTTGTTGGGGGCATTTCTATGGTAAACCCCCCATGCAAAAAGACCCAGATGACCACCTGTCCACACCATACAGACCTCCACACATACTCAGAGCCCTCATGGCAGGAGGGACAGCTGACACACAGTCAGTGAGGGCTCTCAGGTTTCTGTTTGACACACACTATTTCACCCCATGACAGACAAGATTTAACATTTAAAAAAAAAAAAAAGATCTCTATGAAGAATTTCAGTCAGGTTTCAAATAATGCATATCATAATCTTGTACTGCAGTTATATCTGATGCCATGAGGGCTCATTGCTGCATATTATCAGTCAAGTAAAAGTCAGTAAAAAAATAAATATTTACATACACTACCGTTCAAAGGTTTGAGGTTGGTAAGATTTTTTTTAATGTTTCTAAAAGAAGTCTCTTATGCTCAACAAGGCATCAAAACTACAGTAAAAACAGTAATATTGTGAAATATGATTACACGTTAAAAGAACTGTTTTCTATTTTAATATATTTTAAAATGTAATTTATTCCTGTGATGGCAATGTAGAAAACAGCTGTGCTGCTTGATATTTTTGTGGAAGCCATGATACATTTTTTAAAGATTCTTCTTCGATGAATATAAAGTTAATAAGAACAGCATTTATTTGAAACATCTTTTGTAACACTATAAATGTCTTTTCTGCCACTATTGATCAATTGAATGCATCCTAGCTGAACAAAAGTCTTAATTTATTTCTAAACTTTTGAACAATAGTGTGCATAGATTAAATTCATAGAATAAACTCTATTCATAGATTAAACTCAAATCAGTTAATCGCAACATTATAATGTACACTATAAAATAATGAATATTCATTTTGAAATTTGCTAAAGATTACATTTAACAGTGTTATTAAATTACTAGTGTTTTTAAACCCTGTAAACACTGACATGGTCGTGCTTTAACTGGGCGTTATTTTTACTGTTTTTTTCTGGCTCTGATAGGATGTGTATAAGTATTAATGTATTGTATGTGCTAGTTGTCTTATGTTTTTATGTCCATCTATGATTATGATTACCTGCCAAGGGACTGCGGATGAAAACTACCCTTCGGCTAAATTCGGTACAATGCGTGAAATGGAAACATTTATGTTATAATTGTACATGGTCCCTTTTCAAATAAATTGTAATAATAATAATAATAATAAAGATTAACTTTAAGTGAGTGTTAGATGAAAGAAACGGTTATCTAAATGTAAAATGATAGGGGAAATTATCATGAACAATTAAATATGCGATATCGACTGATATACTGATAAATAAAAAATTATCAAACTCCGGTAAGGTAATAAGCAGTATGGTACCAATACCATGCATCCAGGGACTGTGCATCCCTAACTGGAAGAAAATAAATTTCAAAGGCAGCCATGCATGAATATAACTATACTATTTATCTAGATAGATGTACACAGTATAGCTGTTAATCATCTGATCATTCAACCAGCCTCTGTATGACCAAAAATGGAAAATATGCTCTTCTGTACAACAGTTTCAATTTTTTTCCTAATTTAAAATGGAAACATAATATCGAGCATTGAAAATGTTTACGTCTTTGAGAAAATGACAAATGTCCTTCTTAAAGGTGGGGTAAGCGATTTTTCAAAAACGCTTTAGAAAACTGATTCGGGCCGACTAGCAAAACAAACTTGTAGCCAATCAGCAGTAAGGGGCGTGTCTACTCATGATGTGGAGGAGAAAGCGTTCAGTGCACAGGACGGACATTAGCGAGCCGAGCGACAGAAAGATAGAGATGGCGGATAAAAAACAAAAGAGGAAAACGTCTGCGGAACAAAAGAAGGCTTAAGGCAAGAAGTAGGACCCGTGTAAATATCGGATCAGCTTTCCAGCGCTGGAGAGAACTCAAGGAGCGGAAGGCCTGCGATCGGACGCCGAGATTGCTTTGTTTCTTCTCGATAGGTAAGTAACACCATGTCTGCTCCGCAACAGCTAAAGTCTGTCTAGTACACTGGACGCGACAAAGCGACCGTTGAAAATCATTTGAAATTTGAATCATTATCACAATACCTTGTAAGGGACATTTCACATTAACATATCAAACTGACCTGATATGAACTAAATAAATAAAAAACAATGCACTAACGTGTCTTTGTAATATTTCAGGACTCTGTTTGTGTAGAACATTGCAGCATCGTTCATCTCCTTCACATACGGCCCTGGTTTCTGACACTGTACGACAGAGCAAGAAAACAAAGGGTCAAAAGAATGTCAAAGAAGCTTACTTATTAATATAAATAATAAGCACAGAAAAAATGATCCATTTCCAGTAAAGCACTAATACTGAGACTCTGAACCTTTGATGTAAACAGCAGTGGTAGTTTAAAGCAAAAAATGATAGAGTCCAGATCTGTCTTAGTCCAAATTCACATTGCAGAGATTAGATACAGCCAGCCACAGTAAAGACATCAGAGGAGTTTACATAATAGAAAACAAATATAAATTCAAACATCAATTTGGTGGTCCTCTCACCAATGACTCAGATGGTTTGTGTGAGGTCGGCCTGTTGTCACAATCAAAGAAAATATGCCCAATGGATGGATTTGATATTGTTTGAAGTGTATTTGGTGGACTCAAATGCAAAAGATGCATGAGCCAAACCAGGTATTTTCTGGATCGGTTATAACAGAATTATGTTTGTATACAGGAAGTTAGTGACTGACTAGAATGCACCACACTGTCCATGGGAAGTGTGAGACAGAGAGAAGTGCTCACCACGGCCACCCAGCCCAGAGCGGGGATGCTTTCGCTCACGGCAGATAGGTGGTTGAACAGGCTGCTGCCACGGTTCTTCTCCCGGAAATACTGGACCTCCTGGATCTGGTCGGAGAGGGGTCTGAGGAGGTCAGCCATCTCTGTCTGATTGGGAATAACAGTGGGAAAGCCATCAATTAAAAGTTAAGATTCCTTTGTGGAACATCAAACAGCAAATCTCATCAAACAGTCAGAGTTATGCATAAAACAGACCAAATTCATTAAAAAAAAGCTACTTCCGGTTAGGATATTTGAAGTTGTATGAGCAATACTAATAGTGATAATTGTCTTGCAGGCTCTACTAATAAACTACTTAAATACAGTAATTTGGCATTTTAGTCATTTCATTTGAAACTTCCATTCATAAAATACAGTGGGTACGGAAAGTATTCAGACCCCCTTAAATTTTTCACTCTCTTACTTTTATAATTCAATCAACTTAGTCTAATAATTCAATTAACTAAATTAACATATCTTTCAAACATGAACAAAATAAGTTTTATGCTGAATACCACTGTAGAGTATTCATTTTCTTCTATTAAAGACTGAAAAGATTTCTTTTTTTTGTTTTGACATATTTCCTATTGAAATAGGAAGTATGGGCAGCACATATCCAGTTTTGTTATTGTTGACTAAAACTAAAATGCGACTGTACCTGAAGACTGTAGATTTTAAATGTGTACATCTGTTAAAAGTCAACTGTGTCAATATTAAAGACTATTAGCATACAGTGTATTTTAAAACTAAAAAACATGGAGAAAAAGCTACTCCACAGCAACTCCAATTTTGATTTCATTGGACCTTTTAAAGGGATACTCCACCCCAAAATGAAAATTTTGTCATTAATCACTTATCCCCATGTCGTTCCAAACCCCTAAAAGCTTAGTTCGTATTCGGAACACAATTTAAGATATTTTGGATGAAAACCGGGAGGCTGAAGCGACGCGAATATTTTTTGTACGCAAAGAAAACAAAAATAACAACTTTTTTGTTGAATAAAGTTGTTATTTTTGTTTTCTTCGCGTACAAAAAGTATTCTCGTCGCTTCATAACGTTACGGTTGAACCACTGATGGCAGATGGACTATTCTGACGATGTCTTTCATACTTTTCTGGACCTTGACAGTGTAATTTACTTGGCAGTCAATCGGACAGTCACAAGCCTCCCGGTTTTCATCCAAAATATCTTAAATTGTGTTCCGAATACGAACGAAGCTTTTAGGGGTTTGGAACGACATGGGGGTAAGTGATTAATGACAAATTTTTCATTTTGGGGTGGAGTATCCCTTTAAGCAAGCACAGAGAAAAGCACAGAGCCTGAGGCACCCAAGCAGACTTTTAATACTGGGACCAATTTTTCCAATGAAACGTCCAGCGAGCTTCCACCTCCCTCTCACTCCGCATTCCAGCCCGTGATGGGGAGATCCCCCTCGCCTTGTAAGGCCCTGTCCTGTACTGATGTTTATAGTTTACCTCTGAACAAGGGGGAGAGGGAGCTCACTGTTTCCTTTGTTAAATGAATGGTTTTGTATTTATGCTTGTGTTCAAGCAGTTGCCATGTCCACCATTTCAGTCCATTTCATAAGAATTTGGTGGGAGAATGAGGACGACTGACTTCTCTGGACTAAAAATACCACTTCTTGTTTTCAGTCAGGCTCATCAGCTCAGACTGACCTTCATGTGCAAATCAGAAGAAATCACAGAATTGACCTGACTTCAACCTCATCAAATAAGTGAGAGATAAACAAACAAGACAGACGGTGTGTATTTAGACAGTATATGTTGGTACAATGCGTGTTTATTCATTACACATTTTGTGGCTGAATGTGACTCATCAATTGTTTTTGGTGTCAACAAGGTTGAAATGTGGAGGGTTGTGGATTGAGTTTGTGTTTGTGTAAGTGTGACAAAGAGCGAGGGGGAGCAAAAGAGAAAGAGCAAAAGCGTATTTACATAAATTCCTCCCATAACAACATGCGCATGATTTTCATTTCTGTGAACAAAGGCGCCTCTTTCATCCATACTTGGACATTACAACCCTTGTTAAGACACTGTCCGAAGTGCAAGTACCTTTCCAGCATCATTCTGAACTTCCCTTTCCATCATGCTCAGCCAAGGAGAGGGACAGAAATAGCCTGCCTATCTCTGAGCTATGAATGGAGCCAGAGCTAAGAGCTTTCTTGGCAGATTATGAATTATACGGTAAGAAAATAGAGGATTGCTTCACATTTCAAATGTGCACTAAGCTTATCCTATTTTTGAGACTATATATATATATATATATATATATATATATAAAATAGAATAGAATAAAATAAAATAAAAAACTCTAGATATACTGTATAATTGGACATATATTAGCTGTATAAGTCTGGAAGGTATAATTTACTTAATTTAACCAGGAATTAAGATGTGAATATATATCCCTTGAACAGACAGAAAAGATCCACAATTAATGTTAAATAATTTTTTAAAAATCAACTAAAATGTATCTGAATAACATAAAATAAAATATAAAATGTTTGCATTTTTATATTTAATTTTTTTAATGAAATAGTTGTAATTCAATAAAATAAAAAAATAAAATAAAATTCTAGATAAATGGACACATATTTACACATATTTATGAACTATGGAAGTTATAATTTACTTAAAATTGCCAGAAATTAAGATATGGATAAATATCCTCTGAACAGACAGAAAAGACCTCACTATTATCCCAAGATTGAACATCTTGGTCAGTCACGGTGCAATGCATTTTGACTGAGAACAACTCTATTATAAGAGGAATTAGAGAGAAACAGCTGCGGTCTACAGGCCACACAAACACTCCTCATCCAGCGACAGGCCCGTCATGTGACCAGGGCCACAGACACACACCGGCTCAAATATAGAACATGCCCATAAAAAGCCACAGAATGCAAGCACAGTCCCACACACACATATACAGAGAGAGAAAAGCCAGAGGTTTAGGGCAACTGTCCAGCATCCCTCCTGGGAGCTATACGCACTTCACACTACTGATGGAGAGGAACAATGGCTAAACATAGTGTGTGAGTGAGAGAATGCTTGTAAGATATATTTATATATGCATCAACAGAAAAAAAAAAACGTATTTAAGAATTATTGTGAAGCTGAGCTGGGGTGACTGTGCGTACAGTAGAGTACTACATAGATAGTCGCCAGTCTTTTCTTAGCATATCTAATTCAGGTTGAGTGTTTTTCCATTCAGATTTGTGGGAATCCATTTGCAGAAATACCCTCCTCCCCTCAACAATGCATTTGACCATTGCAGTTGTGGCTATCTGTTTTTAATTAATTATTAGACACAACCACCACAATGCGAGATTGTTCATGCTAGGTTGTTATTCCTCAATGCAAGTCTATGGGATTTTTTGCCTCATTTAACGAGCATTAGGTTTGCTTAGAAAAGGAATAGCACAACTGTCCTCAACAAGCATGATTTAAGGTATCATTTAAATACCGTTGCGCAAACGGTGCAAGACAAACATCTTATCTCATGGGATTTTCTGCCAATGGCCATTAATCTGACACATACAGATCAGAGATTTGTCCCTCAGCTGTGTACATCTCATTGAGTTCAGTAAATATTGAATCTGTGTTCAAATTAAACAGGAATCACCATTAAAATCGAAATAAAAAATAGAAAAACACACTAAATATTCCAAACAGTCTTGCTACAGCACTTTTCCTACCACTTGTGTGTTTATTATCCAGTGTTTGATTCTCCATCCTGCTTTCATCCAATAGCCTGTGGCCTCAGATCTTCTTCCTGTTTGGGCAACGTGAACCAAAGTCCGATGACATGACATCACGCTGGCCCCCTGCACTTCCCCCTGGCCACTGTGTGAATGCACCAGGAATGTGTCGCATTGGCATTTTTTAAAACGGGAGAGGTAATCCCTATGTGAACAGAAACCATAGTCGCATGGCTGACCACATCGCTCAGAATAGTATGGAGGAGAGTAAGTGGTCGGCATTACAGCAGAACAGAGCGTTTAAGTTGAAAAGCACTGAATTTATATCACCCTAAAAGGAATAGTTCACCCAGAAATGAAAATTTGCTAGAAATGTATTCACCCTCAGGCCATTCAAGATGTAGATGAGTTTGTTTATTCATCTGAACAGATTTGGAGAAATTCAGCATTACATCACTTGCTCATCAGTGGATCCTCTGCAGTGAATGGGTGCCGTCAGAATGAGAGTCTAAACAGCTGATAAAAAACATCACTATAACCTCATGCAGTGAAAAGCTGCTGGTTTGTAATAAACATAATCATCAAGACATTTTAACTTTAAACTATTGCCTCTGGCTAAAATAAGAGTCCTCTATCCATAATATTGCTTTCTCCAGAGCAAAAGTGGTCTCATCTGAATCAGAAAAAATATGCACAGATCAAGCATTGTTTACGAGCAAAAACACTCCATAACAGTTTTAAACAAAAATGTTATGGATATTGATGATAGTGGATAACAGGGGACAGACTTTTTCCACTGGAGAAAGCATTATTATGGATGATGGACTTTATTTTGCATTTTAGCCAGAAGTGACATTTTAATGTTAAAACGCTTAAATTTATGTTTTTTTTTTTGTTTGTTTGTTTGTTTGTTTTTTTACAAATACACAGCTTTTCGCTTCTGTTTCAGTCCATTCTCTGATGGACTGGAGTCGTATGGGTTACTTGTGGATTATTGGTTGTTTTTATCAGCTGTTTGGACTCTCATTCTGACGGCACCCATTCACTGCAAAATATCCAAGTGATGAAATGCTAAATTTCTCCAAAACTGTTCCAATGAAAAAACAAATTAATCTACATCTTGGATGGCCTGAGGATGACTAAATGTTCAGCAAATGTTCCTTTTTGGGTAAATTATTCATTTAAAGTGACAGTACACCCAAAATGAAAATTCTGTCATTATTTACTCATCCTCCTGTCATTCCAAATTCATACACACATTTAAAAAAAAAAAAAAATTAAAAACAAGATTTCTATTTCAAGTCTTCTGAAGCACACAATAGCTTTGTGTGATAAAAACCTGAAGTTTAGGTCATTATTCTAACTGTTTGGAAAATATCTACTTGGGAGAAAAATACTTATTTTCATCATCCTATTTTATAAAAACATTCAGTAAATTTATCTAATTGTGACAATTTATCCATTCAGGTTTGTTTGTTTGTTTTTTGTTTACTTTTTTTGACCTTTTATTTCTTAATCAAAATGTCATAACTCAGTCCAGTGAAATGACAGACTTCTCTCTGGTGACGTATGCTGGACTTCTTCAGTCATTTAGTCTGCATTTGTGTCAAAACTGAAGCATTCTTTAGGCTTAAACCGATTTGCCTCCATCTAATCAACAACCAATGGATAAGAGCCCCTGCAAACTTTCCTTCTGTATTCCACTTACGCTTCACTCGAACTTATGTCACAATACAGAAGAAATTTGCAGGTAGACATCTGTTGAGAGTGCACAGACAGAGTCATATGGGTCATTTGCTGAAGAGACTCTCCCAGCAGGCACTTTCAGTCAAACTAAACATTGTTATTATGGTGCTTAAAATATGACAAACTCTGTAGTGTGGGATATGCTAACGGTGCTTCAATGCAAGTGATTACTTCATGACCACAAAACTGTGAAATGTCACGTCGTCAGTTTACAACATCTAGTTTAAATGTAAATGAAATCATAGGCAGACATATTGGTTTGGGTGTACCTTTGCTGGCTCCTGGTGTGTCATGGCCATTTTGAGGAAAGCACGCTGGACCTGCAGGGCAATGTTCACCATCTCTGCCTGTTGTATAAAAAATTAATTAATTAATAAAATCAAGTAACAACAAATGTATTCATTATATATATTTAGAATAGTATTGTACTTAATAGCATTTTGTGGTTGAACTGACATTACAAGCTTGCAATGAAATGCCTTTGTCTTGCTAAAGCTAATTTCATAGCATTTGTGTCCTAAATGAAAGAAAGAAGAAATGGTTGAATGGTAATGTAAATGTAATGTAAATATACTTTGTTCACAAGTGATTGTTTATGTAACTGTTAATTTCACTCTATTTTCAAATTAATCATGTTATTTCAAATGTAATACTATGTGTATGATGGATTTTCAGGTATTATGATTGAAAGTCCAAGGTTTTGGGGTAATGATAAAACAAAATCCAAAAAAAGCATTTGAGAAGCAGCAAAAATAAAGTATGAAAGCAAAGTAGAAAGTTTTGAAGACAGTTTTAATGTGACCTTTATATAGTAAAAAGTTAGTTCTGTTATATAAAATCAACTTTGGGGACATAAAATACCCAAAGTTAAAGAATCGCCTAAATGAAGTAAAGCCTAAAGGGACAGAACTGAACCCTTTGCTGCATACACACATACACACAAATTGAGGCAAATCCTACATTTAGGAAAAGATTTCCTCTTGCAGAACACGGGGCAAGCCAGAGGTCTGTTTTACCTTAAAAGGAGCTGACTATAGGAGATAAAACCCTCTCCCAGCCCATCTCTTTCAGCACTGATGAGAAACTTAGATTGGTGAATGTTGCCTTTCGAGGTAAAGGCACTTCACGGGATTTCTCATCAGTAATTCCCACACTTTCAGAGTGTTCAAAAGGTCACTTCTGCATGACTCCCGGTTAAATCAGGCTGTGGTTCAGATCAGAGGAGAAAGTGATATTGAATGCAATCTCTTTTAGAACACTTCTAAGAAGTTTGATGCCAATCTTAACTGAATTGAAACACAATAACTGTGCGATCATAGTTTATTTCAATTATCACACTTTCATAAATATAAACATGTCATGTTTTAATCAGGGTTTTTAAATCCCATTGACCTCTTTGGTTGCACATTTCAATACAAAGGCATAAATTACATTTAAGATGTTCCTCTAAGATTCTAATATTGGGTAAAGAAAAATTATATTTATTTAATAAGTATTATAATATATAGTATTATGTACACTACATTTCCATGTTTGGGGTTGGAAAGATTTTTTTAATGTTTTTGACGAAAGTCTCTTTTGCTGACAAAGGCTACATTTATTTGACCAAAAATATAGTAATAACAGCAATATTGTGAAATATTATTACAATTTAATTCAACGTGAATATATTTTAAAATGTAATTTATTCCTCTGCTGGAAAGCTGAATTTTCAGCATCAGAAATCATTCTAATATGCTGATTTGCTGCTCAAGAAACATTTTTTTTTTATAATCAATGTTGAAAACAGTGCTGGTTAGTATTTTTGTGGTAACCATGGTACTTATTTATTATATTATATAGTACTATTTAAATAGATATAGTAAATAATCATAATTTTATTATTATGTTCTAATAATAAATCATATAATCATTTCCAGATATTTTAATACATTCAAATAAAAGGCAATTATTTATTTTTGAAAATGACAAGTTGTCTTTAATTACATTAAACTTATTATTTTACACTCTATAAATGGGTTTGTATACAGTGAAAATATACAGCTGCCTTTATATTTTAGGAAGAGCATCCTCGGGAGATCATCATCTCTGGAGGTTGTTGGCGTTAAAAAACTTTGAAAACCCCAAAAAGACCACATCCACACAGACCTACAGAACATGATAAGTTCCCACAAACATTTAGCGCAGACAGTCTCTTTTTTCACTGAGCGAAAGATCCCGCATGCACACTCACACACATATTCAAAGAGCCATTTCTCATCTCTTATTAGACCAAAAGGGAAATGTTTCCTCTCTGAGTTGAGCTTGAGGAGAATTCCAGTGCTAACAAAGAGGACACATACATCCCTCTCCCACTTTCTTTCTGCTCTTTTTCACCCCTTCCCTCTCTGTCTTCTCATAATATTACATTCCATCACTAGAATGAGCCACTGTGCCTCTGTGTACACTAAGTACATTGTCCAGTGCCTCATTTCTCAAGCAGCTCTTTAGTTACCAATCGGTAGCGACTGGCCATGAAATGTAAGCCAAGAAGCCCCAACATTTCAGTTATTGTTTGCAGGCTGTCAACTCAAAAAGTACCTTGCATTAGGACAGATGGGACAGAAGCACTCACCGACAAATGATTGATGGTAAGGGCTCCTATGGAGCAAATGCACCAATATTAAATTCTGATGAAGATAGTGATCAGGACATTTTAGTTAAATGATTATCTTATAAAATTCTAAAATTATTGTCTATAATTTGATGAGAATTTTTTAGTTCATGTTGAACTCTTTGACTTGATTGCAGATTTTGGTATGTTGGCAAATCTGAAAACAGTGTGATGTCGTTGAGATCTCTTCAAAAGTATTTCTCAGACAAAAATTCTAAGAAGCAGAAAATTTAAGCAAATTTGCTCTCCATTTAATCTAATTGCTTCCAAAGGAGAACTACTGAAATATTAAAGAGTGACCTTTAAGATACACTTTCAATACAAATACAAGTTTCAGTATTTGAAAGGAACTAATACCTTAAAGGGGTCTTAAGATGCAATTTCAAAATTTCCTTTCTCTTTGGAGTGTTACAAGCTGTTCGTGCATAGATAAGATCCCTAAAGTTGCAAAGACTAAAGTCTCAAATCCAAAGAGATATTCTTTATAAAAGTTAAGACTTGTCCACGCCCTCCTAAAACGGCTCGTTCTAACACGCCCCCACATGTCTACGTCACTATGTGGGAAGATTTGCATAACGCCTCCCAAATGTTCACGCAAAGAAAGAAGGTGTAACTTTTATTCTCGCTGTAGTATTGTTGCCGCCGTCGCCATGTCGTGAAGGCCCTGTGTGTTTCGTTGTGAAAGCGAAACTACTTTGTTTGGCCTTCCAAAAGAGGACGATATCCGCTTCGTCATGCCTAGAGCTGATCTGTGCTGGTCGCTGAGGGAATACACCAACTTCGCG